ATACTCATTCAGTTACCTTCAACCTAGTACTTAAACCATAGTTCTATTAAGTGGCAATCATTAATACTTAGAATAATAGGGATGTGAAAGAATTAATTAATATAAAATGTGAACTAACACCAAAACAAGCAAATATATATTGCTTTTTCAAATATTAGTTTCTTGTAAGAAGTTATTACTTAGTGTACATAAAATAACAAGTTTTCTTAAACATATGTGGATTACTTATATACTACGTGGGAAAAATATTTATAATCTACTCTTACGCTTTCTTCTCCCCCTCCTCCCTCCCACACTCATAATCATATTTATGTTCTAAAAAAAAACAACAAAAAAAACATAGAACTAAGGCAACAATTTGTTACTTTTAAGCCATTCTGTTAAACTCGCACTAGTCTCAAATATTTCTCTTCTGCCTTCATAAGAGAGACTAAGTTTTAGTGGAAAAAGCCACTTATATTTTATGTTATGATTTCTCAAAGAGCGTGTGGCAGAGCTGAATGCTTTTCTTTTTGTTCTGGTTTCAAAGGATAAATCTTGAAATACTTTGACTTTCTGGAAGGGCCCCTCAGGGATTGAATCAGATCTTGCATATTTCAGAATGGTTTCTGTGACGAGACCAATCTCGCCACATTGCATTGGAGAAGCCTGGTTGCTCGCCTGCTGCCTTTGGACTATGGCCCCCTGTTAAAAGACATCTTTTTTACCTGCAGAAAAGCTTCATTCGTGCTTTTCTGCCTGGGGTTCGGTAGATTTGTTTGAATGTGTTATACCCCAGATAGGAATCCCATGGAACCCATTCGTATGAAACTGACTGTAAAGACTTTGGCTCCATGGCGATTAAACTGTATTCGTGTGGTCTGAGTGCCATTCACTTAATAATGTGCGCTCAGACCTGAGCTATCTGGGGATATGTTAAATGTCTGTGTGTTATGTAACAAATGTGACTTTATGTATTTTAAAGTGTTTTACTGTCTTTGTGTCACCATGTGCATAATGGAGTCTTGTCCCTGTCCTGGGAGATAATTGAATTACTTCTCTCTTATCTCCAGGGCAGAGGAGAGGAAGCCAGGATGCATTGTGGTAAAAGGTATGTGTATTGGGTTACCTCTCAGGATAAGGGGGAGGGAATCTGTGGGTTGTAACTAATATGTTACTGGATATTTTATACCACCCTGTGGGCGGTCCTGTATTTGCAAGACTGTAATAAAAACCAGGCTGGGTGTGCCAGGACCTCAGACCACTGCTTGACCCTCAACACAGAGCTTTGTCTCGTTCTTGGGGGGATTCACTGTATGCTGTTAGAGACTGATTGCCAGGAGTGTAAGCTGATTGTCTGCTTTTCCTGTTCGTCTGCTAGTAGCTATTTGGGAGGTTCCAGTTCGGGAGTTGGAGTGCTATTTTGTATCCAGTTCGGGAGTTTGGTGTTCTGCAGTAGCGGTGCCTGTATCTCTGGAAAGGGGGCCGATCGCCTAAACATTTTTTTCCCCTTTTTTGCAAAACGGTCCGTTACAATTGGTGGCAGCGGTGGGATTGTTCCCACAGACTACAGGACAGCTACAGGCAACACCATTCCGTGGATTTTTACAATTTGAGGGCAACGCATGTCCCAGTACAGCGACCCTGACAGCACCGAGATGGAACCAGCAGTGGAGTATGATGAGGGTGCCATGGATGACCGAGATGCAGTCCGTAAAGGGTATTGTGGAGTACCAGCGGGGTGAGAGATTCCCCAAGGAAGACCAGCGGTTGCAGAAGCGAGTAGCCCTGCGGATGCCCTTCTTGGGAGAGCAGCCCCTGGAAGAATGGGTGAGGAAATTGGAACACCTACTATGGCAGGAGATGTGGCTAGAAGATGCCTACCAGGTGCTCTGGTGGTATGGAGCACAATACCTGCCCTGGAAAGCCGAGCATGACAAGCCAGAGGGAGAGGAGTTTAATAGTCCTGGCTTGTTATGGGTGACTTTTGCAGAGCCTGAGTTTGGGAGCCCTACACAAGCCCGGTTCAGTGATCTCTTTGAGTGGAGGGAGAGCAGGTATGACTGGGACGACACTCACGAAATTGAGCAAGACCTGGTCCACCTGGTGACCCGAGAGATGGAGCTGGAACAGGGTTACCAAAATCTTTTCCACTCCAGTGAGAAGGCTCAGCAGGGAAGCGGAAACCCAGATCCAGACCCATTCAGCTGGGAAGATATTGTGGAGTGTTACTGGGAAGAACCCCAGGTGGCCGGTGGAGATGGGACCGAGGTCTCTCCACCGGTCCTGCAGGGAATTGGGAGCCCAGTCTCCATTTCCCAGCGGCCGTGTGATTTATTGGGAATTGGGAGCCCAGTCTCCACTCCCCAGCGGCAGTGTAAAGTGCAGGGAGAGGAGAGCAGCGTCCTCCCTCCCCAGCGGCAGGCTGAGTTACAGGGGGCAGAGGTAGTTGTTCCTGCCCTCCAGCAGCAGAGTGATATGCCGGGAAGGCAATGTGAAGTACAGGGAGAGGAGAGCAGTGTCCTCCCTCCCCAGCGACAGGCTGAGTTACAGGGGGCAGAGGTAGTTGTTCCTGCCCCCCAGCAGCCAAGTGATATGCCGGGAAGGCAGTGTGAAGTCCAGGGAGAGGAGAGCAGTGTCCTCCCTCCCCAGCGGCAGCGTGATTTTCTGGGAATTGGGAGCCCAGTCTCCATTCCCCAGCGGCAGTGTGATGTGCCGGGAATTGGGAGCCAAGTCTCCATCCCCCAGCGGCAGTGTGATGTGCCGGGAATTGGGAGCCCAGTCTCCATTCCCCAGCGGCAGTGTTATTTGTTGGGAATTGGGAGCCCAGTCTCCAGTCCCCAGCGGCAGAGTATCCAGCAGGGAATAGAGAGCCCAGTCTCCTTTCTCCAGCAGCAGGACACTGTATTGGGAGCGGAGACAGTCGGTCTCCCTCCACAGCGGATGAAAGTATGTATGGGAGAGGAGCTTGCTACCACCTCTCCCCAGCGGCGGATCATTAATGGGCAGGGAATAGAGAGCTCAGTCTCATTTCCCCAGCGGCAGAGTGTTCTATCGGGAGAGGAGCCTGTTACCCCCTCTCCCCAGCGACAGCTTAGAGTATCCAAAGGGGAGACAGTCGGTCTCCTCCTCCAGCAGCAGAGCTGTGTAACCAAAGGGGAGACAGTCGGTCTCCAGCAGCAGGACTGTGTATTTAAAGGAGAGACAGTCGGTCTCCCCCGCCAACAACCAGGCTTCAACCAGGCTACCCTCCCAGTAGCGCTGGCAACAGGGCAGAGTGCCGCTGGTCTCTGCCCACGCAGCAACCCACCCAGTCAGTGTACCCGTACCCAGCACAGCCGTGGTGAGGCACCTGGACATGGACAAGCTTCTCCTCTACCCAGGTGCAGTAACTATTTATTGTGGGTGGGCTGTGCTGTTGATTATGTTTTGTGGGTGGGCTGCTGGACTAACAAGGACACTGACCGGCAGGAGGTCAGATACCCTGTTAGTCTATTTGGAAAAGGGGAGAGATGTGACGAGACCAATCTCGCCACATTGCATTGGAGAAGCCTGGTTGCTCGCCTGCTGCCTTTGGACTATGGCCCCCTGTTAAAAGACATCTTTTTTACCTGCAGAAAAGCTTCATTCGTGCTTTTCTGCCTGGGGTTTGGTAGTTTTGGTTGAATGTGTTATACCCCAGATAGGAATCCCATGGAGCCCATTCATATGAAACTGACTGTAAAGACTTTGGCTCCATGGTGATTAAATTGTATTTGTGTGGTCTGAGCGCCATTCACTTAATAATGTGCGCTCAGACCTGAGCTATCTGGGGATATGTTAAATGTCTGTGTGTTATGTAACAAATGTGACTTTATGTATTTTAAAGTGTTTTACTGTCTTTGTGTCACCATGTGCATAATGGAGTCTTGTCCCTGTCCTGGGAGATAATTGAATTACTTCTCACTTATCTCCAGGGCAGAGGAGAGGAAGCCAGGATGCATTGTGGTAAAAAGTATGTGTATTGGGTTACCTCTCAGGATAAGGGGGAGGGAATCTGTGGGTTGTAACTAATATGTTACTGGATATTTTATACCTCCCTGTGGGCGGTCCTGTATTTGCAAGACTGTAATAAAACCAGGCTGGGTGTGCCAGCACCTCAGACCACTGCTTGACCCTCAACACGGAGCCTTGTCTCGTTCTTGGGG